TACCATATTGTTTACCATACTATACTGTTGACGCTACCATACTGTAAACCCTACTATACTGTTGACGCTACCATACTGTTTACCATACTACACTGTTGACGCTACCATACTGTTAACCTTACTATAATGTTGACGCTACCATATTGTTTACCATACCATACTGTTGACGCTACCATACTGTTAATCCTACTATACTGTTGACGCTACCATATTGTTTACCATACTACACTGTTGACGCTACTATACTGTTAACCCTACTATACTGTTGACGCTACCATATTGTTAACCTTACCATACTGTTGACGCTACCATATTGTTAACCCTACTGTAATGTTGACGCTACCATACTGTTAACCCTACTATAATGTTGACACTACCATATTGTTAACACTATTATAATGTTGACGTTACCATATTGTTAACCCTACTATACTGTTGACGCTTCAATATTGTTAACCTTATTATACTGTTGACGCTACCATATTGTTAACCTAACTATACTGTTGACGCTACCATATTATTTACCATACCATACTGTTGACGCTACCATACTGTTTATCTTACTATAATGTTGACGCTACCATATTATTTACCATACCATACTGTTGACGTTACCATACTGTTAACCCTACTATACTGTTGACGCTACCATATTGTTAACCCTACTATACTGTTGACGCTAGCATATTGTTAACCTTACTATACTGTTGACGCTACCATTTTATTTACCATACTATACTGTTGACGCTACCATATTGTTTACCATACTATACTGTTGACGCTACCATACTGTTAACCCTACTATAATGTTGACGCTACCATATTATTTACCATACTATACTGTTGACGCTACCATATTGTTAACCTTACTATCCTGTTGACGCTACCATATTATTTACCATACTATTCTGTTGACGCTACCATATTATTTACCATACTATTCTGTTGACGCTACCATATTGATAACCCTACTATAATGTTGACGCTACCATATTGTTAACCCTACTAGACTGTTGACGCTACCATATTGTTAACCCTACTATACTGTTGACGCTTCCATATTGTTAACCCTACTATTATGTTGACGCTACCATATTGTTAACCCTACTGTTATGGTGACGCTACCATATTGTTAACCCTACTATACTGTTGACGCTTCCATATTGTTAACCCTACTATAATGTTGACGCTACCATATTGTTAACCCTACTATAATGTTGACGCTACCATACTGTTAACCCTACTATACTGTTGACGCTACCATATTGTTAACCTTACTATACTGTTGACGCTACCATATTGTTAGCCCTACTATACTGTTGACGCTACCATATTGTTAACCTTACTATACTGTTAATGGTGACGCTACTGTATTGTTGACGCTACTATTCTGGTGACGCCACTATATTATTATTGACGCTACTTAACATGTAAACACATCACCAAAAATCACGAAGCTAGAAGAAGGGCAGCCATGAATACATGTTTGGCAGCCGAATCGTGCATTTTGGACAGAACAATATGATTTTACGAGCGTTTCTAGTTTTATTTGGCTAGACCTCTCCGTCAGTGTTGTGTGATTTGTGTTGTTTGCCATCATTAACTGCGTTACGTGTAAGTACCCTGGATTATATAAACCAGTGGTTGATAGTGGGAGCAATGCTCCGTGCTCCTGAGGTACGATGACACACAATCAGCCAGGTGAAAGTGTAAGATGGTATTCACTAGTTTTCAATCTGAGGACGTGTCTTCCTGAGAGGTGGGGGCACGGGGGGGCACGGGGGGCCCAGTCGCATTAGGCGCCGCGTTTCGCCGTGCAGAGTTGCGTCCCATGGGGACTCCAGAAACCTATGATTGTGGGTTCGAATCCCGGTTCGCCCCGATTATGTTTCTAGGTTTGTTAGCACCATACCCGTGCTCGTGGGTTTCACCGACGTGGTAAACGTCTGAGACCTACATCACTTCGGGCTTTCCTCCGACATGAAGCTGACACGCCGCAATATAACTGGAATATTGTTAAAAGCGGCGTTAAACCCAACTCACTCACTTACTTAGAAGTCAACGTGAACATCTGAACCTCCTTTAGTAGCTTCTCATGAAAAACATTGGGCTGTTCGCCCGAAGTTCAAACTAGTGATGCAACTCGACAAATCCCATACACATGAAATGATTTCTTTGGATGGTAATGAAAATAATAGACGACGTCGCCATCATTTGTAGAAAACTTTCTCCACCCAAGCTATGCTCATTATAATTATTATCCACTTCAACGGATCAGTGTACACTTACTTTTCATTCTCAACTCCCTGGAGAGTATACAAAGACTCCGCATATATGACATACACATTCACGTCTATAAGAAGGAAACGCAACCTTGACATACAGGCATTACGGAATAACCTTAAATGTTATGTTTTATACATTGTCATTTCATAACGAAGTGCATTTTAGATTACTATAATACTGCTAAATGATTATGCCCTGATATAGATAGGATAATTACATGACTTTGTGGTTCATTCTTAAATGTTGCGATACTCCTAAGGCTAGTAAGTGTTAAATGGCGTAATATTTACCATCGAAAAGTGATGTGCAACGTTTTGTCCAGCCACATGTACATTTATTCAAGCTGTGATCTACTAGTATAATATTCAGTAGTATATAAAAAACACCTCTCAATTCACAAACTCTATATACTACAATGAGGCGAAATGGGGTTAACATCGTGTCCAAGGTTATGGCCGTTATATAGCGACGTGTGTGTGTGTGTGTGTGTGTGTGTGTGTGTGTGTGTGTGTGTGTGTGTGTGTGTGTGTGCTTGTACTCGTCATACAATGCCGCAGATTGACATGAATACCCCACTCAGACACAGTATGCTGACTCCGAGCCGACCAGTCCTTGTTTCAGTCCCTTACTGCCAAGCGCCAGACAGGGTAACAACAAGTACCATCTTTTAACGCCTTTGGTATCGAACCCCCGACCTTCCGCTATCCGGGCGGACGCTCTACCACTAGACCACGGAGGCGGTCCTTATAACCAGCTCTATGTTGTGTTATAAACACCACTTACAACCAGCTCTATGTTGTATAATAAACACTCTTCAAACCAGCTCAATGTTGTATAATAAACACCCCTTATAACCAGCCAAATTTTGTGTAATAAACACCCCTTATAACCAGATCAATGTTATATAATAAACATCCCTTATAACCAGCCCAATGTTGTATAATAAACACTCCTTATAACCAGATCAATGTTATATAATAAAGACCCATTATAACCAACTCAATGTTGTGTAATAAACACCCCTTATAACCAGCTCTATGTTGTATACTAAACACCCTAAAACCAGCTCTATGTTGTATAATAAACACCCCCTATAACCAGCTCTAAGAGGTGCAATAAATACCCCTTATAACCAGCCCAATGTTGTGTAATAAACACCCCTTATAACCAGATCAATGTTATATAATAAACACCCCCTTATAACCAGCCCAATGTTGTGTAATAAACACCCCTTATAACAGCTCGATTTTATTTAATAAACACCCCTTATAACGAGCTCTAAGGGGTGCAATAAACACCCCTTATAACCAGCCCAATGTTGTGTAATAAACACCCCTTATAACCAACTCAATGTTGTGTAATAAACACCCCTTATAACAGCTCAAGATAAGATAAGATAAGATAATATTTATTGCAGAAACGTTCCATTACGGGACAGATGCAATTTTAAAAGACAAGACATTATGATTTATATATACATATATACAGACAAACATAATCTACATTTCTGTAGACACATACAAAACAAAATAATCAATATTACATATTTTATACATAAAATGTCGACGGTTGATTATGAGGGGGTATTTATTGTTTGAAATTATAGATGTGGAAACAAATGCAGTTGATATTGACTGCTTCATTATTTGACAGGATGTATTGAAATAATTTGTCTTCATGACTATGGACATTTACATTTACATTTTGTCTGGATAGTTTTTCAAATAGTATATTTCTTTCTCGAGTGTGTTTAATACAATGAAGTAAGTAATGTTTTTCGTTATCAATGATTGAACATGTAGAGCATAGCCTCTGATGTAGTGGGGTTGGTGGCTTTGTGTGTCTTCCAAGTTCAATATTTAATTTATGGTTACTTAATCTTAGTTTAGAAAAGTGAACTCGATATTTTTTTACTTTACAGTTGCTGAGATAGGGTTCTAATTTTATTTCATTTTTAACTAGCCTATATGTCCTAAGTTTGTTTCCTGTGCCTCTTGTTGTATTTACATCTTGAAGAGATTCCTTGAAGAGGGAGTTGAATTTAGATTTGATTGTCTCTTTGAATATTGGTGAAAGCAAAGCTGAAATACTCAAATTGTGTTTTCCTAAGAATATATTTAGCTGGTAAACCCATCCTAATCGTTTTTTCACCAAATATGTACTTTCTGTAAAAGCGTTCTGAAGTATTATGTTTTTGGAAGAACAGACATGGTGATAAAAATTTGCTATTTTGATTAATACTGTGTAGATAAGGGGGTAGAGTCCTAGTTCAGCTCGGCTTGCCCAGTTATGTGTTGTTTTGTTGACACCTAATATGGATTTACAAAATTTGAGCTGCAGCTCAATGTTATATAACAAACACCCTTATAACCAGCTCTATGTTGTATAATAAACGCCTATCACACGCCTGCTCTATGTTATATTATAATTGTCTTGTTGTGAAAACCCCACTCTATGCTACATCTGTAATCTCAATCTTACAACCTCCGTGCACTATGCCATGTACATGTAGTCACACTCATCTACATCCCAATCCCAGTGACGTAACTATCTAGAATAGACTAGACGTTAAAGTTAACTGACAGTAGCCGGACATGTCCGCAGTCACGTCGTCAAACGCAAGTCTTCACTGATATTTCGTACAACTGAGAATAAACAAACCGGTTTCGGTTCCACACATACCGGTTGGCTGATGCAATCAGCCTTGACCTTTATAGTAGGAAGTAGAGACTGTACATGCAGTAAGGCACAGTTGTTGACAGTTACGCCGCTGTCGATAAGAGATGAAGACAAGCGAAGAACAAATTGATGTTGGATTGAATCACTAGTAGACAGGAGAATTATAAAGGTTAGTACGTGTAATTATCTCGTGTACGTAACTGATACACAGTGAAAATGAGTGATATCATTTGGATTGATTCGCAGACCCCTTAATTATATTGGCTATTATAGAACGTGGTGAATACACAACAAACAACTGATGAAGCGTTTATTGTGTGCCCGTATGTGGGATTATCACATCAAGTTGATGTGCTAATACACATGAATAGGTGTAACTGAAATACCCTTCACAGCGGCGATAAGGCCCGTGAAGATGCAGGGTAGAATAGGTCTTCAGCATCACATGAGGTGACTGTGCTTGTCGTAAGAGGCGACTAACGGGATCAGGTGGTCAGTCTCGCTGACTTGGTTGATGCATGTCATCTTATCCAAATTGCGTGGATCGATGCTCATGATGTCAATCACTTGATTGTCTGGTCCAGACTCGATAAAAGAATCACCAACTTAAAACCACTCCATTTCTCTTATTGACAAATATGAGCGTTAGACAAAATTTCCCGATTTGAAATAAATGTATATTATAGCGTGTTTTCTGTGAAATACGTGCAGGTATCGCGACAGACATTAACAAATCTGCCTTGGATACATGGCAGATATCTTTTGATAATATTTTATATGCCTTTTGGTCAATGTAGCTTCAGATCACTAGGCCTGCACAGTGTCATGTATGTGTTTAATAATCGATACAATACAAACTATTAGTGCAATCATCTTTATTAACGATGTAAGATGTAAGAGTTTTTCATTTTCATCAGTGTGAACTCTTAATTAGGAGAGATAAGATTATAGCACTTACAATGTGTGTGTGTGTGTGTGTGTGTGTGTGTGTGTGTGTGTGTGTGTGTGTGTGTGTGCTTGTACTGGTCCAGACTAATGCCAATGTTATAGTGCAAGTCCACTGAGATACCATACAGCTCTATTATAGTTACTAACTTCAGTTAGTACATTATCAAACTAACTACTGTTCAAACAACCAAGAGACCCGTGAAGATCCGGGGTAGAATAGGTCATGCTTGCTGTGTAAAAAGCGACTATGCCTGTGGTAAGAGGCGACAAAAGGGATCGGCTGATCAGGCTCGCTGACTTGGTTCATGCATGTCATCGTATCCCAATTGTGTAGATTGATGCTCAGGATGTCAATCTCTGGATTACCTGGTCCAGACTCGATTATTTACAGACCGCCGTGTCATTGCTGGAATATTGCTGATTGCGGCGTTAAACCAAAAAACAAAACAAACCCAAACAGAAGAAAACTACCAAGACTTATGTTCTAAATGAGGTGACATATAGTTCCAGTTTTGTCTAGGTTCCCGATGAAGATTTATCCGTGTCTCCCGATCATCCAGAGGTCAATATAATGTAGGTTATATAAATAACGAAGACCCGTATTAAACAATAACAAAGTTGAATTGATTATGACAATATTGCAGATAAAGGCACATTATGGCCAACCATTTATATGTTAATCATTCAGGACATTCAGGTGTGTGATGAGAATGTACGTGAGTTACATTAATATGTAAACCCTATTAATGGAAGTCGAGAATTACCATGACGCAGGTGTTCTGAATGGCTCTGCAGCTCTACAGCATACAGGCTTATACACCCAGTTGGTAATGTACTCAATAGATCTATGTGTTTGGTTTTCAGATTGAGCAGACAATGGCGAAGACCTACACAGTGAGTGACCCTCAAGACTGGCAGTCTGCCACTGACTTTGCTGAGACGAATTTGACGATGTTGACACACAAGATTGCTTGTGACGTCAGTTTCCGCGTTGGTCTTAAAAGGGAGATAATAATGGCGCACAAGTACATTCTGGTCAGCAGGAGTTCTGTGTTTTTTTCCATGTTTTATGGTCCCCTGGCGGAGAAAGCTGAAGTTGAGATTCCAGAAATTGACTCGGATGTGTTTCACAGTTTCTTAAGGTATGATGCTGTTTGTGAATAACCTAAACGAAAAATACAAAGAATGAATTTGTGCGGTTTTACACCGCGTTCAGCGCAATGTTCCAGCAATATCACATTGAGGGACACCAGGAATAGGCTTCACTCATTGTAAGAAATACAAAGAGGTATCGAGTGACGGTAATGACTGGATATGACAAATGAAAAACTAAAGTACTCACGGAAATAAAAAACCCCTGTTTTTCTCAATTTAAAAATCGACACAAAGTGTTACGTAGCTGTAAATACGAAATAACAAAACAACTCGAAAAGTACTAGTCTGGATTTGCTAGTTTGATCTCAGTGAACAATACAAAATGTACTTTACAGGAGGTAATTTGTCGGCACTTTCAACATTAAAAAATAAAACTAAGTCCAAATTGACATAGCAGAAACAGACTATAGGCATTATGCACCTGTTCTCACCTGTCGTCAAGGTGTCATAGGTCACCTTGATCCACTTACACCTGGTTATGCCCTGTTTCACAATAGTCTGTTATATTCACATTTTTACACACATTTACGTGTAAAAAGGCATAAAAACATTTGATACGCTGTATTTGTGCCACGGCCCAATTAGTACTAATTTAGTTGTTTGAATATTTACATATTTTGTATATTAACTGCATTTATTTAAGATCTGAGGTCGAAAAAACAGTTTTTTTTCATTTCCGTGAGTACTTTAGGTGTAACATGACAGTCAACATTAAAGGGGGTAACCAAGGAAGACGACAGTGGTGGGCAATGTCTTTGGATGTTTTGGGGTTTAGAGTTTGGTTCCGAAGTCTGTGGCACTCATTTTTGAAGCTGATCCTTTTTCTGACGACCGATAATAATATAGGTATTTCAGAATATATTTAGATAATTAAGGCTTATACTGATACTAATGTGATAGATGATTAATATATGCGAACAGAGATTCGTAGCTTACACGTAGACGTGATTATGAATCTGTAATAATATTTATTTATGTTCGTCCTCAACATGTGCTAAAAGGAATGATAACTAAAAAACCGTTCGAGGCGACGTTGAACCGAACTCACCCGATATTATCCCCTGTATCCTCTGAAGAGAAACAAGGCTGTTTTAGAGAGTTGACGCGTAATTGCTAATATTAGATTTTAAACGCACATCTTTGAGTTTACTACCAATGCAGTGTATGTTAGCTATTGACGGCGACGTGTGGTCAAGTGTTCGTCGTCACGCCGAAAACTCAGGTTCGATTCTCAACATGGGGAAAACGTGTGAATTCATTTATTATATCTCTGTCGTTTATGACTGGAATGTAAACTGAATAAATCGTCGTAAAACCACACTACTTTACTCGTACTTTTATATAACTCCCTAAGAAACGCCAGGAATCTGTGATTGTAGGTTCAAATCTCGGTTCGTCCTGATCATGTTTCTAGGTTTGTCAGCACCATACCTGATGTAGTAAACGTCCGTATGGCTTCGAGCTTTCCTCCCTAAATGAAGCTAACACGCTGTGATATAACTGAAATACTTTTAAAAGCGGCGTTAAACAAACTTACCCTCTCAATGTTATATATAACAAATTGGGGTACTTTTAAGCATATCCGGGGGCACGGGTGGCCCAGTTGTCTAAGGCGCCGCGATTCGCTGTGCAGAGTTGCGTCCCTTGGGCACGCCAGAAACCTATGATTGTGGGTTCGAATCCCGGTTCGCCCCAATTATGTTTCTAGGTTTGTCAGCACCATACCCGTGCTCGTGGGTTTCACCGAAGTGGTAAACGTCCGAGACCTACATCACTTCGGGCTTTCCTCACACATTAAGCTAACACGCCGTGATATAACTGGAAGACTGTTAAAGGGGCGTTAAACCCAACTCACTCACTCAATTTTAAGCATATCCGTGGTCAATGAATACAATGTCCTGTCTCCTTTCAGGTACCTGTACACCAACAGCGTGGAATTGACCACCGACAGCGTTACCGGTTTATTGTATGCTGCGAAGAAGTACTCCGTGAAGTCCCTTAGTGAAAAATGTGTGAGTTTCTTAGACTCCGCCCTCAATGCCGACAATGCGTGTGACATCTTAGAACAAGCGCATCTCTACAATGAGGAAGACCTTGCTGGCACGGCACTACGAGTCATCACTGTCAACGCTCTGGACGTCTTCAAGTCTTTAAGCTTTAAGGAAATGTCAAGACAATGTCTCAACAGAATACTCGAATCAGACGATTTGCGAGCAGACGAAATGAGCGTGTTTTGTGCTGTCCTCTGGTGGTCGGAGGCTGAATGCGTGAGACAGGGAAGGGAGATAACTCCTGATTCAAAATGTGATGTGTTAGGAGATTCTATCAACTACGTGCGATTTCCACTGATTGGACTGAAGTCGTTTGAACTGTGCATAGGAATATTAGATAAAGACTGGCTTAGTCTACTACGACCTTTCTTTGACACTAGAATTGACATTGATGAATGTACCGCATCATCTATGTCGGCACGACCTCGTAAACAGCTTCCAACCAGAGTAAACCGGTTTTTGAAGACAGAGGAATCTCTTTCGTGGACATTCAATGAGAAACGGAGTGACGCCATATCATTCTCGTGCGACACGCCAGTGGAACTGCTGGGTGTCATGCTATATGGAGCTTTCCCAACCCCAGATGCAAACCGCATTATTTCGTATTCAGTCGAATGCAGTATTGAAGAGGATCTACGACAAGATTATCTGTCCCATACGTTTTTCAAAGGCGGGAATGTATTGGAGGGGTCTTATGTGGAGAAAACAGTTTTGGTCAGCGCCCAAGAGCACTTCATGGACGTGCTTTTTGAGACCCCATTGCATTTGACCAAGGATTTGAAATATACAATTGTGTTGAATGTTTGCGGGCCTGATTCTAGAAGGGGGTGCAGGGGACGATCTACATGCGTCAAAGACGAAGTCTGCTGGACGTTTAATTCATCCTCAAAGAGCAAGAACAGTACAGACGTGGAACACGGACAGATTCCAGGTCTCATCTACAGTTGTTTGTGAAAGAACACTGCCGCACTGTTCACTGCCAGCTGCCACCTGCTCATAGTTCGCAGTTCATCTACTACACCTCAGCTTTTTCGTACGATTATGCAATTCCTGACGCACTTGTCTCCATAGTGTCACATTTCTGTATATTTATCACTGAATTGTACCAAGTGCAATAAATATTTTATACTGTTTCTATACGCGTCTTGCCAATCCAATGATAAGTGTTATGTCATTGTGAGATTAATATCGTACTAGTCTAGTGAAATTGCCAAATTCCTACCATTTGGTTTTGTCGTTTAATGTAGTCACAGTAAATATATTAATAAATTTGCATGTAATATATGAGGTAATTGTTATTATATAAGCGAACCTTCTTTTTTGATAATGGCTGCGAATTGGATCATTATTTAATGTTATCAAATCGCTAATTTTCTATGCAAACTAGACAATTGAAAACCGGCCGCTAAGTGGTATTATAGAAGCTTCCGTTTATGGAAATTATCCGAAAACATGCAGATCTGGAACCGCGTCCCTTCTATGTTCCCCTGTAAACCCGAATGAGTAAGTTTTGTTTAAAGTTACTATGAACAATTATTATCAATACTATTTCAGTTATCTTTCAATGAAACACAGCGTGGATGAAAGCGCAAAGTTGTGCAGGTCCGAGATTTTGGGCTCTTTTGTGAAGCAAACTCAGAATCAGGACCAATCTGGGTTTGGAAACCATGACCACAAGATTCTGGAACGCCTGAGGGAGGCTACTCTGCAGAGTGAATAGTCGCACCTTGACCGACTAGGCTATCTCCGCTATTCAGTAAACGGGCAAGCAAATGAATGTGTTGGCTTGACTTTGAAGTAGTCTAAATATATATCCTTCACTGATATTTACCAAACCTTTCTTACTGTACCAGTTACTGTAGGCGTGTAAGGTATTTTCTACCTTGGCGGTATCTATATTGTCGTAACTTAGTTGACAGAAAAATTCCACTCACCTGTATTGTTGAACACCACTTGGCAATAACGGAGCTTCTTGCTTTCACTGTCATTGGTGACGAACTAACTTCATGTGGAAATAACAATGACATCTTTATTAACATCAATATGTTAACCTGTTTATGTACGAGGATATTTGTATTTTATTCAGTATACCATTCTCTACATTGAACGTGTAATTTTGGAACCAGTGCTTTGTTGCTCGTAATAGACTCATCATCATGGTGAGGTGAGGTGAGGTGAGGTGAAATTGGGTTTAACGTCGGGTCCAAGATTGTTATACTAAAATAGCGACGTGCATGCACGTGTGTGTGTGTGTGGCTGCTTGTACTAGTCCGGACTAATGCCGATTTATAGTGGTAGCCCACTGAGATACCATGCCGCAGTTTAACATGAATACCCCACTAAGACACGGTACACTGACTCCGAGACGACCAGTCCTTGTTTTATGTCCTTTTGCCGAGCGCCAGACAGGGTAACAACAAGTACCATCTTTTAACGTCTTTTGGTATGACGCGGCCGGGCATCGAACCCCGGACCTTCCGCTCTTCGGGCAGACGCATTACCACAAGACCACGGAGGCGGTCTCATCATCATGAACACTGAATTAAAAGAGTACATGATATGAAACCATGGAGTCGTTGAAATATGGTCAGTAAGCCATTTTTAACATTCTAAACCGTGACCAGTTACATTTTCTGATAATTTTTATTCTGATATATTTTTGTTGTCGGAAGGGGTAAATGCCAATAAACTTAGTCGCGATGGTACGATGACACACAGACAGCCAGGTCACAACCAGTGACAAATATTTCAGTGGAACGTCATGTACATGCAAAGAGTAAACAAACTATGGGTAGCCCGAAACCCAAGCTCTATGTCCAGCCACAGGATACTCAACACACCGACCACAGTTCTTTACCAAATGGAACCCATTGCAATTTATCTGTGTAGACAAACATCACAATTTTGGATAAGCAGTTCAGGAGTATATACTGAAACATATTTAGCCTTTCATTATCACTGGGTAGACATAGTTATATAACTATCCAAACCTAACACAATATAATCAAATCATAGCTTGTACAATCATTATTGAACATGCGTCCTCAATCTATCAATGAAATCAAGGAACAAGCAACCAATTACATTCTATAGTCCCTGGGGGCATAGGGAAACGGAATTCTGTTAGCAATGATTCTTAAAAGGTGTTGCAAATTGGTGCTGCATTAGATAATATACTTGTAATTAGTCAGTTCCGGGTTTGGACCGAATACAGGTGTATATAAGCGTCTTGTTTTCAAGCACCAGCTATCACTGCTGTCGCCTCTCTTCACGTTTAGATCCAGTCTAATCAACACACTCTGTGAGTATCAGTTGTTTTGTGTTTTACGGGGTATTCAGCCTGTCCCTGTTAACGCTGTATTTTACGTTGCCGTTTTATGAGTGTTAGTCAGTAGTTGTTGCTGTAATGCTATTTCAAACTTTTACTGATTTCTATTTGTAATATTGATTGAATCCTCCAAATGTGTTTGTAGTTTTCAAATCAGATAAAGTTCTACTTTAAGCAACAAAATAAAAAAGTGTAGAATAGCGACCACAAGTTGGTACAGAAACGGATTTTCTTACAGACTTGAATAATGAATGAAAAACTCCTTTTCAGCCTTCCAAAATGATGAAAGTTATCGCCCTTGTTGCCTGTCTGGCTGTCGCTGCCTTTGCTGAGCCTGTGAGCTATGGTCTGCACGGAGGCTTCGGAAAGGGTGGTCTGTACGGAGGCTACGGAATGGGTGGTCTGTACGGAGGCTTCGGAATGGGAGGTCTGTACGGAGGTTACGGTTTGGGAGGACTGTACGGAGGCTACGGAATGGGTGGTCTATACGGAGGCTACGGAATGGGTGGTCTATACGGAGGCCACGGACTAGGAGGACTGTACGGAGGAATCGGAGGTTTCGGAAAAGGTAAATGCAAATACAATCATGCCGAGAATATTATTGACCCTCACATATACCTAATACTTTGACAGATTATAAGTAAGCTAATTACACCAAACTTATTTTGCACCTTCATTGGACACATGCAGCATAACTAACCTATCGATATATTGAATATAGAAATTATTACGAGACGTAGAAATGACTTTGTACGGAAAATATTCTTAAACAAAAACCTCTTCTTTTTGTTGCAGGTATTGGATATGGCTACTACTAAGGTTGTCGCTCCAGTGTCACAATTCATCTGCATCATCAATATGTACATTATTTATTGTATCCGGTTTGAAATATGTCACATAAAACACAATCATTGAAACAATGTCTTACGTTTTTTATTCATAGTAGTGTTGGGGCTATGTTACAAAAGGAAAAAAATGTTATTAAGAGAGTTGTATCGGAACAGTGAGATATAAATCATCAAAATGAAAGAGAAACGCGTATACTAGTTTACTGGCATGAGCGAATGAGTGGGTGAATGAGAGAGTGTTGTTTGACGCTACAGTCAGCCTTTGTCAAATTACACCATGGCAGAGGCACAAAACCATGCGGCACGGTGACGCACAATCAGTCAGGTCACACACAATAAACATCTGGTCGCCTTCATAAGTCAGCTCTTACGACAAGCATGTGGCACCGAGCACCTGTTATTGACAGAAATAGCGTAGGATTCTAAAAAAGTGTCATTCATTCGCACGTGAAAGTTGTTTGTATGCAATATGGAGGTTCAGATATGTATATTCCTCAATGACATTGATCAACTTTACAGTGTTGACTTTCGTCCCTGCAGCCCGGATCCGTGAGCATCCGGTTTAGAATATAGGTCTTCAGCAACCCATGCTTGCTGTAAGAGGCGACTAACGGGATCGGGTGGTCAGGCTTGCTGACTTGGTTGATGCATGTTATTGTATCCCGATTGCATAGATCGATGCTCATAGTGTCAATCACTGGATTGTCTGGTCCAGACTGGAATATTTACAGACCGCCGTAATTTAGCTGAAATATTGTCGAGTGCGGCGTTAAACAAACAAACAAACAAACAAACAAACAAACAAACAAAGCGACAAGCACTTAGTCTGGAAAACAACAAGAACAGAAGTTGGCAATTAATGTTCCATAACAAGGTCACATATTCATATATAATAGCCACCTGATCGTGTGCCTTCGGTAACACACAAACAAATGTTTACCATTAGTCTTCTGTAGTATCCAACACTCTCTGTCCATGATGAAATTTACAAAAATGCAAATGTCGGCATTCTTTATACGTGAGAAGCACCTAAACCTATATGCCATCTGTAAAAGTAAGGATTATTATTAAGCTTTCTTGGGAAAGTAGTAAACGACTCGACAGGTTTTTGGTAATGGCAAGAATGGACAGTCACAAGGTTTGAAATGTGCCCCCATACAGTCGTACCATTCCGTGGCTGCATAGTCAAGCCATTCCGTAGCTTTAGTTACCATCCTACATTTATCCCTTTCCCGTATGCTCTTTACATACAACTGGACCGCCTCCGTGGTCTAATGGTAGAGCGTCCGCCCGGAGAGCGGAAGGTCCGGGGTTCGATCCCCAGCCGCGTCATACCAAAAGACGTTAAAAGATGATACTTGTTGTTACCCTGTCTGGCGCTCGGCATTAAGGGGCTAAAACAAGGACTGGTCGGCTCGGAGTCAATATACTCCGTCTGAGTCGGGTATTCATGTTAAACTGCGGCATGGTATCTCAGTGGGCTAGCACTATAAATCGGCATCAGTCCGGACTAGTACAAGCAGCCACACACACACATACACGTGCATGCACGTCGCTATATAAGTGCAATAATCTTGGACGCGACGTTAAACCCCATATCACCTCACCTCACCTTACATACAACTCCTTGATTAGCCATACTCCCCACTGCACATTCCTCTTTTTCAGTATTAATGATATAGGAAGACCCTTTCAGAGCTCCGATGTTGTTACATTGTAATCAATGATATATTTCTTTCTATGAAATGCAGGTTCCATTTGTAGATCACACTACATATGAAATACATTGAGATCTGTTCTTTAACAGGAACTGTTTCAACAGGTTTTTTAACCGTGTTACTAGAGGCGTGCGTGAAGAGTCACTGCTGAAATGTGAACATTAAATCTGCACTGACTTTTCTTCATGACCGTAACATGGAGCATCATTACATTAAATATAATTATCATTTGCAGTTAT